TTGTAGAAGTGTTCAGCGATGGGGAGATGCTCAGCCCAAGAGTTTACAATATTTAAAGACGTATATGCAGGTGCAGGAGTGAGAATAAACAGTCACTTAGAGAGGACTAGATAGATCTTTTGCACGTTACTGCAGCAGAGCTAAAAACAGTGTCCTCACTTGTTTTGTCTAATGAACTGTGCAATTTAACTGGTTTCACAATTAAGTGCTTAAAGAAAATTAACACTTTGCTTAGGTATGCTGTGCCGCATCATAGGTAATTAATGACTGGTATTTTCCTCATGGTGATGCTTTCAAACATTTTCATGGCATATCAGTGCCTACAAACCAAATAAAAAACCCCAAACAACTACAAGGCCCACCAACACATTTCATACTATTTTAAGTTTCATTGGCAGTTTCATCAGGAAAACACAAGTAATTCTTTACCCTCTTCATATTATAAATTATTTTTCTTATTTGGAGGTGAGGCAAAGTTGTGAGGCAATACATGGAAACCAACCATTTCTTCGTTCATGGACACCCACAACTCTATTACCATAAGTATCCATTAATGTTATTGATACAAACAACTGGTTGGAGCAGAAAAAAAATAAAGAAGAAAGAGCTATACCCATGCAAAAAAGAAATTAAAAAAAAAAAAAAAGAGATAAATACATCCTGTCCAGTCATTCATATGCAAAGATATTCTAGACAATAATTGCATTGTTTTAAGGTTATTCAGGACAAAAGTAAATGCAGTTTCTGTAGGTCTATATATTTAAAGTTATACTGATCTATCTCTGAAATATTCAAGATTACCAACTTCAGTAAGAATGGATTTTCTACCTAGCATCATTGAAAACAATGGTAAAAACCACACTGACTGTATTGAGACTAGCTTTTGTACCATCACCACTACTTTGACCAAAGTAAATGAAGTCATCTTTTGTCATTGAAAAGATAGAGCATATGCAGTTGTGTCAAATGTGTTCCCATTTATGTTTTGAAATACTGGCTGCTGAAAGCTCTGCTGAGGTCTAAACAGAAACGTTTATACCCCCTTCCCCCCATATGTACACACACAATTTCCTACACCTCCTATTTACCACCCAGAGAGAAGGATCACATTTCCATTCCTCCCCAGCTCAGAGAGTATTTCAGAAGCTTTTTTGAAAAACTCTTGACCTCACACATACGTACTATTACCGCAGAAAGCTCCTTTAGTTTTCCTCTGATACCTACTTCTGGGTAATCTCATACAGGACTATAATTAGGAAAAATAAAGAATGCAGTCTTTAGAGAGCTATTATTTTTCTTCAGATATCCTTGCAAATGACTATTAACAAAAGGTTTAAGTAAAGTCCCCTCCCTCCAAGCTTTATGGGAGCTCTGACCTTTACTGCTACATCTGAAACATCTTGCTTCTCCACAGGAGGCAGGCTGTTTTGGACCACGTAAGCACTGTCTGAATGCATTGTATTGAGTGTAGTCAGTTTTATAAATATGTACGTGTTTTGGGGGTACTCATCTTATGAGTGCTAGCTATTCCGGGAGGTCATCTGGAGGAGGTAGTTGAAGGAAGGACCTCCAGCACTGCAAATACCTGATATTACTGGAAATTCCCCTTATATTCAGGGCAAAAGGCATCCATAAGTGCAGGTAGACCACTGGTCTTGAGAGTTTGATGCATACCAGCTTCTGCAGCAACAGCATACAAAAGAGTAATGTAGCTAGCAACACAATTCTAGTTGTTTTAGAAATCATTTAAAATGTTGCACATAAGCACTGAACTGATAGGTTGAGAATTAATTTTTGCAAGCTGCATGCCATATTGTAGAGCAGAACAACAAAACCACCCAAACTAGTTTCGTCCAGTTTCTGACCTAATCTCTCGTTATGCATACGAGCATTTTCTCTAGTCACCCATACTCTACAGAAATATCCCAGATTCCTTTTCCTCCTAGACTTATGACTTCTAGATTTTTTGGCTATTTTTGAGAAGAAATGTGTTCAACTTAATGGTCGTTTTCTTTTGTATTCTTCAAAATGCAAAATTTCTTATTAACGAGACCTGAAGAATAATTCCTTCTAGAGAGAACGTGGCTGAACATTTTCCTTCTTCAAAATGGCTGTAGCTTCCTATTCTCAGCAGGTCCAAGGCTTCAGGCTGCCCTCAGAGAAGATGGTGACCCCTGTTTCAACATGGTCACCTCACTTCTTATCCTTAGTGCTCTCTGTGGAGTGAGACTGACAGCCCTGATCTAGGTGGAATTTCCACTAAGCTTCTCAAAGGCCATATACCTCCAGGATGCTGAATGACAACACACTCATCTGCCTACACACAGAACTGAGGCATTACAGCACTGGACATCTCTGATTGATTGAATAGACCCTGAGGGCAGGACCCTATTACCAAGCCAATGCTCAGAACTGATTAACCCCTTAGCCAGTGTCAAATACAGTACATTGCTGTAAGAAGACTATAAATCATAGGATAACTGTAGGGTCAGGCCTACTGTGGCTCTCTTATATGTCTTGCCTAGAGCCTACTGTTGATTTTTCTAAACAGAGCATGTTAGTGCTATTCTGGCAGAAGGAAAACAGTACAGGAGCTTGCCATCTAGATTTTTATTAATCAGAACATTTTGTAGCTTGTTCACTTTTTCTTTTGTTTCTTGCGATCACAGAGGGGAATGCATTACATATAAGACAAGGCGTATTTACGTTTTGTGACAGTTGTAGGAGAGGTTGTTAAATGGTACCAATACTCTTGTACCTTTGAAAAGTTGTTTTCTACACCCCAGCAGTGATAGCTATTTAGTTTAACTTAATTTCAGGATTATCCTGAGAATTCTTAATCTCGATGTTTCTTTCTCTGAGTCTGGTCACTTTTGAAAAGGGCAGCTATGCTACCTAGTGTCTTACAAATGAGTCCAACAATAGATTTAGGTATTTTAAAAGCTAAGTGCAATGTCAGCCATGCCCATGCGCTGTCTTATGGGATGAAGCCCAGGGTTCTGTGTTTGGCACTTGCACACCCAGTATAGGCTGTTGATAACATTGCCATTCCTTCAGAATGGGAATTTAGATGTTGGCTAATTTAGCAAGGAGACACCTGAAGTTATCAACAGCTGATAGACAATGGAAAATACTCTGTGAAAAGAATATATTTTTACCTGTCCTCAAGGGTTAGGAGCCTTGCTCAGATCTCCCACTTGGAATTGATGGACTGTTATCCTCTCCTGAATACAGATGTTTAAACTCTCTCTTTCAGAGAAAGGGTAGGACCTGCACACATGAAAAAAGAGCAGAGAAGGTCCCTGTGACTGTGCTGACAATAGTTCTCTTTTATAAAATAGCCCAATGGCTGAGGCACTACCCTGGTAGCTGGGGACAGGTAGGACTCCTGCTCCCACAGCCACAGCTATATTTGCCATAATATGTCAATAATATAGATGAGGAATGAACTCAAGCAAGGAACAGGATCCGTGTTGTCTTTTTCTCCGAATTTGTGCTTGTTTTCTCTCTCTGGCCCAGTGATTCTTGAATTCTCTTTTCTTCGTGATAGGGCAGCTGTGAAAAAGACAGTGGATAATACACCCTCTCCTGAATAGTGTAGAATATAGCTTAGCATAGAGCACTGCTTAGGGCGTCCTCTTGGGAGGCAGAAGATGTAATTAGAATATCCTCAGACAGAGGAGAGGGCTGATTCCAAGTCATCCACTTCCTGGATGAATGCTTAAAGACAAGTGTCTGCATTATCACCTCCTTATGAAGGAAATGAAAATGGCCCCTCATCTAACTGCACCTATCTTTATCAAGAGAGACATAAAGGGCAAATTTTTCAAAAATGGGTTAGGCCCAGGTCCTCAAAGACATTTAGGCGTTTGATTTTCTTTGATTGTAGGGGGAATTAGCTTCCAAAGTGCCTTTGAGGATCTGGACCTTAGAGATTTAAGACACTCAATGTCATTTATCAAATGTGGAATCAGTAGGAGTCGGGCATCTAACGAGAACCCCACAGTCTATATGTTTCTAAATTATGTATGCGCTTTGAAAATGCTAGTCCTTTATCATGCAGGAAATCAGAATAGATGACTGATGATCCTTTCTTATCTTAACATCCCTTGTAAAGCTAGCTAAGATCATGTGAGCACTATGATGGACACATCACAGTCATATATATGTCATGCATCCTGATATATTTTATATCTATATACACTTCTGATGGACAGTCAGTTTCTTTCCAATATGGCATGTCTTAAGATAGGCAGCTTTTTAATTATTTAAATTATTTCTGGATTTTCTGATGCTTAGATTTTTCAACTATATATATTTCACTTTAAAAAGAAAATTCTGTGTATATTCACATTGATTGCCTATGTTTTCTAAAAGTGCAGTATTTCAGTATTGATTTGTCTTAGCAGAACCAATTCCATGAATAATGTCTGTATAGTTTATTGAAAGAAAGGGTTTGTGCTGTTTACCTTGAGTTTTAATTTCTTAAGGCTGATATATAACTCCCTGTTCCTGGTTTTGTTGTTTGGGTTGTGGGTTTTTTTTTTGACTACTAATAATAGAAAAACCCTTTCTGGCCTTTTGACAATGTAGTTTTTAAAATGTCCAACTCTTAAGCACTTTATGTTAAACATTTGCCTTCTCTCTCACTTATGCAGTTTAGGCAGAAAGCTACTGACTGTAATTATGTGCTGAGTATTTCCAGAGAGGTGAGGGTGTTTTTTCTGTTAGATTATATTTTAGCTAAAGTGCTCTTAGAATATCATAGTAACCTGGAAATTTTTTGAGATCCTTTGCTCCAGACATTGTCAATGTAACATTGATAACCTTCACCACCTGCTCAATGTTAGCCTATCTTTCAATGGTAATTAAAGAGAATTCAGCATCTTAGAAACTCACATAGACTCCACATCTGATACCAAAAGCAAGATTATATCTTTGCTATTCTACTCATATTATATCCTTTTTTTTTTTTTTTTTTTTTTTTTTTTTTTTTTAAGGTTGTTTCCTTCTCTTTAGTGATAAGATGGTTTGCCACCTTGAGGGCAAGACTAGGTAAGTTCCCTATTGTTAATGTGATTCACCTTTTTGGTCCTGGGTCCCTTTCAGACATAACAAGCAGTATAAACTGCCTTTATCTTGTTTCTTATCTTTAGCCGTCCTGAGATGAATCTTCATGCAGTCACTCTGTTCTTAAGTTTCTATAATGCATCCACTGCTTTATAGTAAAACTATATTACAGCTTCATGTATAGCGTGGCATGTGATTTAAAATAAAATAGAGGATGAAGTGTTTATGAAATAGAAAATTATGAGTAAGAGGAGAATTATTATGTTAAAATATTATCAAGTGTGTAAAAGGTGCACAAAAACTAAGAGCTGGGAATACAGAAGTGATAGAATTTATCTCTAGGTATTAACATAGATAATTAGTTATTGTCTATAGTGCTATCTGTTAGTACTAATACAAATAATTGATGCCTAGAAGGGTGATTTTTGTAGAGGGAATATTGTAGCATACATTTAAATTTGTTAACTAAAAGTCAAAAAACCACCAGAAATTTGAAGTTAGCATAGGTATATTAGTGAATTACAATTACATAATGGAGAATATTTTTGTGAAGTTTATTGGATTTGGGAAAAAAATGAGGAAAAGCACTAACGCTGGATACAGATTTCTCAGAATTATGGAGAAAGATGAAAAAACTCTTTGACAGCTAAAGCTCACAGGATTACTTGATTTTAAACAAATTTGGAGGGAATGAAAATAGCAATCACTCTGCTAATAAAAATAGATAAATAAGAATTAAACTTAAATATTTATGTTTTTATAAAAGTAGCAAAAAAAAAAAAGAATAGAACCAATTTCAAATAATTCTCTTCTCAGTTCTTATTAGTATAAAGCCAATGGATTCTCAAGGCATAGAGGGTAACACAGTTCATGAATCACTTAATAGAAGAAATTAAGAAATATATGTCCACATGTTTCAATCTTTAATCAGCATTTACTTCCCACTAATTCCTTCTTCCTCAGTAAGAATTTTCTGTGACTAAAACATGAGTACATAAACAGTCCTGTGATTGTTTTCCTCTAGTGAATGAAAAAGGAAAGAGTTGTTCAACCACAACCTGTAGGACTATATGCTGGGACTTGATGTCCATTAGGATGCCCTGCCATCTTTCGGAGCAGCTCATTTAAAGTATACTTTAATTAAGGATCAATAAAATTTATATTTATGAAAAAAGAATGCAAGGAAGAAGAAATGGCCATACTTGTCATTTTTCTAGGCATCTGTCATGGTATGAAACTCTTTTTTTTTCCAGAATGCAATATTGGAAAGGAGGAATAAACCCAAATTTATGAGGAATACATAGAAAATAAAAGTTTGTGGAAGGAAAATAGGGGCAATAAAAATTAATCTACATTAGTTCTTGTATGCCAAAGTAGTTAAGGAAATAAAAACGGTTGAAAAAATTTTTTGAGGAAGAAAAAATTCTGGAAAGATAATATTTAGAAAAAGAGGGAGAAGATGACTTTAGTAAAGGTTAAAAATTATTGAAATTCAGTTATCCTTTGAAATATCTTTGTAAAGCAAAAGACTTACAAGTTAAAGTTTATATAACTAGTAAATAAGGACATTTTGAAATATACATTGATAAAGACCAGGCAAAAGAGTACCTGGAAAAGTGGAATATTGACAATTTGTGCAGGCCAACTGGTAGGAAGGCAATTAGGAAATTTATTTACTCTGCCACAGGCAAATATTTTTGATGAGACATGGAAATCTTGGTAATTAGCAAAAACTGTAGAGAAGACAAAACAAATTCAAAAGGAAAAAAAGAACTGTGTTTTTAAGAATTGTTTTCTGAAGATTCTCTCTGTATCCCAGAATAGTATTAGAAAAATATTGAGAGAAAAATGCTCACTGGGAATTAGGTTACTCAGACATCCCAGAGAGCAGGTCTTCTCTCACTCCTGAAGTCATCTCCATTCAAGTTAGGTAAGCAGTCAGAAGCAGGCAGGTGAAAAAACCTTTTCTGCATTGTCTCATTACCTGCCACTTAGAAAAGCTGCCTGTGAAAGGGGAACAAAATAATTTCCTTCACTCATAAGGAAAAGTAAATCAGAAATGTTTTAACTTTATGAATAGTTTATTTTTGATGTGGTACAGAAGCAGTACTATCCTCACTGGAAACAGAGTAGATGTATAACATGATCCTCAGGAACCTGAAGATCTAGAGAAGCAAGAAGATTTTGAGGATGACATCTTGATAGATGAAGATAACTTTTTACTGCACATAAAATGAATAGCTGAAAGAAAAGCAGTAGGAATCTGAGTTCTAGTTAAACTTCTGACAAATGTCTCATGAAATGTTGTTCTCCAAATTAATCCACAGGCTGAAATGTGACTGCAGAACCATAAAGCAGGAAAAAATATAAATGGCCATAGACTGAAAAGGGAGGATCTTAGTGAAGGACAACAGGAACTGGTTTTAAGTTCCACTTCATTTAACATCCTTCATATTGGTTTTGAAGTGGGGTAATAGACCTTTTCATGCAATTCACTGACAATACTGAATTTTAAAGTGTAACAGGACTGAAAAAAAATATAAAATAGTGGAGCGAGAGGGGTTAAAATGTGGACAGCGAAGTATATGAAATTCAGTGTGGGAAAAAAATGAGCCTTTATCTGTCTGGGGAAAATATAATTCATAACTCAAATTTTTGTGGAGACAGTGAAACCTGGAAAGCAGTAACACTGCAAAAGGGATCACAAATGATAGCGGAGAGAAAAATAGGCATGAATTTGCAATGCAGTGTGACAGTAGTAAGGTTTGATGCAATATGAGGCAGAATCTGCAGAAGTGTCACGTCACAAAATTAAAAAAAAAGATTATAACTCTTCTGTTTACAGCGCTGGTACTGCTGCCTCACATATTGAGGACAACTTGTTACTGGTGAGCAATTACGGGGAGTTCAGATAAAAAGCAGCAGAAGGTGCTCTGCGCATATATAGAGTTCTGCAAATGCTAGCTAGCAGATATGTATTAAACATAACCTTATGGTGTCACATGGGCACTCATGTATTACCTTTCTCTTATGCCCATCGTTTGAAGAATTGACGTGTGGAATTATACAGCCTTTGCCATCTGGCACAACAGAAATAGTCAGTGAGGATGGTTTCAGGAATGTCTAGAGCCTCAAGCATTTCCAATTTCTACCATACTGGACAAACTCTACACCACTGATAGGAGAGAAAGAGAGAACCCACTGCCGAGTACCCCTTGGTGCAGGAGGATATGATGCATAGGTGAGAAAGAGTGTTCTTCATAAACAAACCAGCAGCTATTCTGTGAAAGCTTGAAAAACATTAATAAGTGCTGAATAGATCATTTATTTTAAGATTCAAAACACTGAGAGTAATTTAAAAACTGTATAAAATAGGAAGGAACTAATTTTAAAATAATTTAAAACACATGTATATATGTGTGATAAATAATTGGTTTGTGTGAAATATGGAAAATATGTGCAATTGTAAGGAAATAACACTCATAACTCATGAGATTTCAACTGGCCAAAACAGTATTACGAGGCCAGCAAAACCACTCACAAGGGGAAAGTGCAAAATTCCAGTAACAGTTAAATGAACTATTTTATTCATTTATCATTCAAAAAAACCCTCTACCAAATATGACAAACTACATACAGATAGTAGAATAATTCTGTGTACTATGGAAAAAGAAAATTATCCACCCTGTAGGTTAATTTTTCTAAGCTTTTTCCCCCTAAAGAAAGAAAGAAAGAAAGAAAGAAAGAAAGAAAGAAAGAAAGAAAGAAAGAAAGAAAGAAAGAAAGAAAGAAAGAAAGAAAAGAAATGGTTTTAAAGGAAAGTGGAATATTCCTCATAGCAGACATTATATTATTGGTAAACAAGGACCCCAAAGCAACAAAAGCTATAGATTTGTTCATACAGCTACACCTTAGAAGATTTTATGTCTCTCAATAGTGACTGACCCAGAATTTGCAAATATAATATTACTGCTGACATATTAAAATAACCCTTTATATTTCATTCAGTATATCTGAATTATGCAAATGACTGCTAGAGTAGTTTTTCCATTTCTTTAAAAAAACAAACAGACATGGGGTACTCTTTAGACTGTGATTCAGGGTGTATTCATTCCACAACCACGATTAAAGCCTATCACCTGTATTTGTAGGCAGAGCTTACATTTCCAATTGCAAGCTACAGTTCTTAGCTCTCTACCCCAGCCCTGCAGAGCTGTCCATGACCTGCAGAAAAAGGACGTTCTCAGAGAAACTGATTTTATTTATCTGAATGTATATGTGTGTATATATGTATTTTGTTCACTACTTAAGTGCTGGTTTAATATCAGAGACTGAGTGCTCTAGAGACAGGTTTACCCTCAGTGTTAGCAGACAGCTCCATTGTAACTCTGCACATTGAAATGAATGACTGAGAAAACTGACAAAAACATCACATCCCAGCTTTTTGCCAGTTACTGTCTTAGCCAAAAATATATCAGTTCAACATCTGCTTCTTTCCAAAATCATCTCAGCAAACCAGAGATGCAAGCAGTATTTCCCAGTACTGATGGCATTTGCAGAAATACTGCTCTATAGAAAAATGCTGACACAAAAAAATAATTAAAACCTCAATAAGTAAGAGTGGCTGAGAAAATAGCTGTCCTTCTAGATGAATGATCAGGTCAGCGTTCTCAAGAAAATCCTTTCATGTTCCAATTTGTGCCAATCGCACGTTACTGTAATTCCACTAAAGACAAGTAGTATGGACAAATTTGGGCAAATGCATGAAAACCCCCCTGATAACATCAAGAATATTTTAGAGTAATTTTTTCTTTTTAATCTGGGAAGAAGGATAAACCTGTATTGTGGACTGAAGTGTGCAATGCTTTTTATATTACAGGGTATCTGCACTAGAACAACCTTATTTTGAGCAGAAAATTCACATTCAAGTATAGTGGTTTTGGTCTGGGATAAGCATTTTAAAAAGAACTGGAAAAAAGAATGTCTTCCTCTAATTATGTAACTTGATCAATGTATGCATTAAAGACACATTTCCTAATGTATTATGAATTCAGATGGGTAAGAGAAAAGCAGGCTTAAACAGCTTTTAAATATAGCCCAGAATCCTCAGTAATTTCCCCCTACTCACTTCTTCTACGTGCCAGTGTTAGCATAATCTAAAATTCTTTAGTTTTCCACTATTAAAAGAAAACCATAGAAGATGTTTTAATAAAAAAATATTTTCTATCTCCAGTTGCATACAAAATGCTAAACTGTTGTAAGCAATGTTTGTATTTGTGTTGTCTTCTGCAGTCGACTCTTTCACCCAGGTTTTCTGCAAAGATTAATTCCAACAGTGGAGATGTAAAGAAAGGATTATTACTCAGTCCCAGGGAAGACTGAAATTATTAAAGCAGAGCAGCCGCCAACCTGCAGGTTCCTGGATCTTCTGGAGTATGATATGATGATGATTGATAACCTGACCTACACTTCCTGGATCACTTGGCAGGTAGAAATATAGCATCCGCTCTATTGTTAATGCCATAAATTAAACAACTTTCAAACATTATTTCAATAAATTAAGACCATAGATCTGTAGTAGTTTGCATAAACTATGTAAATAAGTGATGTGACTTACGTGTTGCTGCTTGGGCATAAATTCAGTCGACTTCTTTTAAAAGACAGAAGTTGGGTAAGGATATTTAAGATGGCTTGTGCAATCATATTAATCTTTCTACTTCATATTTCACATTTTTATGAGAACTTTATTACTAAATAATATATCTCCATGTTCCCTTTTGTAGCTGTGCTGTCCATTACTTGCCTAAACTACTTGCTGTCATTAGTTATAGCAGTTTTATGCTTCATATACTACACAGCTTCTGATGGCTGTCTCCCTAATAAATTCTTCATCACCTTCAACATGACCATCTGCATTGCAGCTTCATTAATATCCTTTCATTCCAATTTCCAGGTGGGGAATGTCTTGCTTAGTTAAAGCTTTTTGTAAATTATTAATTATTGCAACCAAGAAACCTCCTCCCTGGGCTCTCACTGGTATCATGAAATAGTGATTTCATGGATATTACAGAAGTGTCGCTCATTGCTGCCTTTATCTGTTAGGTTAATGAGGATCATTCTGCTTGAACACAATGGATCAAAATCTGGCCTTTGGTGCACACAGATACTTCCCATTGATTTCACTGAGCTCATTGCATCTCGAGCTTCAGACTTAGCAGCCTATTAAAGTAGTAGAGAGAGTGCAAAGCACAGATAGAAAAGTTTACCCTGGTAAAACAGGTGAAGCAGAAACTGAAGGCTGTGACTTGAAAGAATCTGGACCAGTACAATCAAAAAGTGTAAAACCTTAGGCCACTGGGCAGGAGATCCTGGGTTATCTCAATTTCCTGACTGCATAGAAGGTTAAATACAGCCTTTCAGCAGACAGGCCCTGTGTTATTTGATTCCTTAGGGAGACTTTCTATTGACTATAATACTGAGTCGAGTCAAATGTCTGCAGCAAACCCCACAACACATACGTTTCATAGCAAACAGTGAATGCTTATCATCACATCTTGTAGCTTAAAGCTTTAGAGCTTTCCTGGTACTGTATTCTGCAGATATCTGAGTGAAACTGCTCTACTGACTGTCAGGACAGCACACCTTCTTCTCATCTGTCACTTTGGAGTCAGTTTGGTTGGCTCCACCAAGCAAGGAAATGCATTTGGGCAGACTGTGAAGTTAAGCTGAATGTGACCTACACAGTATATACCAAATGGAATGGGTTGTATAGTTCTTCACCATATGGTTAGGATGAACCATGCAGTTACAAATGAGGTAGACACAATTTATGCTACATCCTTATATTGCATCACCCTTTCTCATTCATTTAATTTATATGTCTGTGCATGCCCTTATGTACCTCTATATGTGCATTGATTCTGCATACACAATTACATTTACTTTTCCTTTATAAATGTATTAGATGTATCAAGCTGTATTTTACAGATGTTTAGTAAGGTAAAAAATTATAGATTAAGAAATGAAGATTTAAAGCTGTCTATAATTCCATCCTCCTTTCTTGTGCATGTGCTTTGTAATACCAACCTGTAAATAAATATTTATATATAGTGATTTTTCTTTCTGAGTGTCCTTCTAATTATTCAGACTGTGACCTAGTGCCTTATTCAATATACTTTATTCAAGCCTCACCCCCTTGGCAGAATTTTTCTTCATATACTTTTTTCATATTGTTGTGAGTGTGATAATATTTGCAAGAGTCATAAAAATTAGTTTACCTTTGCAACATATGCAGTCCATATCAAATAGAACATCAGCTCTGTGGAGTGGCAGAATACTCACTTTAGAAAGTGTGAAAGTCTGAGGATGCTTTGTGGGGTTTAAATTAGCAGAAATTTTGGCTGATGAAAAAGAGAAATTAATGTAAATACAGATTTGTCCAGATGTTGCAAAAGAAACCATATCCTTGTCAAAATGGTCAATCTTGATGCTGAATTTTACATTACCTGCTTCGGAGTCTTTGAAAGAAAGAAAAGGTCACCAGATTATTTTTTATATTGGTGAAACAAATTATTCTTTTACCTTATGCATGACAATAGTTGGTCTGGTATGACTGGATTTTTTTCATTTTGTCATTCATTTTCATACCCATATGGGAAAATGTTAAAAGTTTGACAGTTGAAAGCAATACTGAGTTTTTAATACAAAGTGCCAGGGAGTCTTCTCAGGAAATAGGTGGTGCAATGAATCTTACATGTATTATGTCTATGTTCCTACTTGTGCAGATTTGGTGGATTTGCAGTATAATTCTGCTACAAATCCTTTTTTAAAAAATGTAGATACTCTTTAAAAAATCTCCTTTGTTCTATGGTTTGCACTGTCCCTATTTTCAGTGCATTTGAACTTCATTTTTTCCTTCAAATTCTCTTCTTTTTTGCTTCTTTCCTTTTGCAATCACTGATTTTGTCTCTCCAACCCGAGAACCATCGAGGCACTCAGTTATATTCAAATTTCAGCACACAGTAGATGTCCAAACCAGACACTTCTTTCTTATGTGCCATGTCAAAGATCCCAAAGTGATTCTGGCTGATATGTGAGACCAGAGAGCAAAGTAAAGGTTATCCACAAGCCCCAAAACTGTCTTCTGAAACAAAGAACATAAGAAATGAAGAAATGTAGCTTGTTGACCCAAAAATCCCCTCTTATTTTGCCTTAAAAATGAAAAGCGAGAGGAAAAACTTCATTTGGTTTGAAGAGAAGATATTCCTGAGGTGATAAGAAGAGGTGGGTTTTTTTGAGTTAAATGTGAACAATTCCTACTGTAAACCAAAATGACCTTGTCCTTGGAACAGGTCACTAAAACATCACATTAGGGCAGAGAGAGCTTTTGAGGCAGGCATGCACCTGCCAGGGATTTGACCAGCTCTACTGTCAAAACCTCATATTATTCCTGAAGTAATAAATATAGTTTTATTTGACCATTAATTAAAGACCACTTCAACTAGGTGGTTGTATCGTGACAACCCAAAGAGTAGCAGATTCATATATTTCACTATATTGAATGTATTAATTTCCTTTGCTTAATTTATGTAATGAGGTAATCTAATTCTGTACACACCCCAAATCAAACCTACCTTTCTTAAGTGTTCTTTGTTTTTTTCCCTCTGAATTTTATTTTTTTCTATAATGCTAATCCATGGTTTAGGCAGACTGTGGGGCCCACCTACTGTGGAAACCTTTTCCACAATATAATTGTTAGTGGAGGCACCAGCAGTTTGAGAGAAATGAAAACAAAACCTTATTATCCAATAAAGGATCATTACAAATTCAGCAGCTAACAGTTTTTGGCTGACAAAATTGTTGAACACACCAAGAAGCAGAAAGCAAAATTGGCTATTTTCTGATCACAGGCCTAATTAGAAATGAACGGCTTAACTGTACCATTATGTGCCAATGACTGTGACCTGCATGGTATTTTCATTTCTGAATCTCTTTATGTAAAGAATTTCCTGTGAGATTTTGTTACTCTCTAAATGTCTGTATGGTATTGACTACAACTGAGGGCCAGGTTTTGTTAAAAGAAAATGTCTGGCTTTAATGGTGTGGAAGTTGAATGTACCTATATATATTTTTTATTGGGTCAGGTTCTAAGACTGGATATCCCAAAGCACCAGTCTTGTGGATTTTTTTTTTTTTTTTTACAAATTCATTTTTACAGCTTACAGCAGCCAATTGAAAATAAGACAGTAAAGGTTATGTGAGAACTGCAGGACTGTAGGACTTCCTGCAGTCTACCTCAGGAACTGAAAGGCTGTCCTGGCAGACTGAGTTGCCTCTCTGAGACCATACAGTGTAAAACAGTGCAGAACTGGGCTTTATGGGCTAGATTTCTTCCTATGTTAACTCCTCTGAAATCAACAGAATTATTTTAAGCATAAATTTGAACCAACCTGTTCAAAGGTCCAGAAGTCTACAATTACTGGAGTTTCATGATCAGTTGCCCCATTCCATTCCCTGTGTGAGCCTGAGACAAAGGTCTTGCTGAATAAAGCTTCATTAGATCACAGAGATATAATAAATAATTTAGCAGAGTTTATCATAATAGAAGGTTTCTTCTCACAAGGGGATTAAGCTGACCTGGGGGCAGAATTAATTCTCACCTCTGGAGACAACCAACTGCCACATCAAGTTTAAGGTCTTTGGAAAGCCCTTATTCTGGAAGTACATTCTGCTGGACTCTTCCTTATTCCAGCCAGGCATCCCAACTTCACTCAGTGTTGAATTGTGCCAAGGAGGACTTGTACACATGGGAATTCAGGAAAACTGCCTTTTTCATGCAGTTTGGTCTGGTATTCTATTTATGAAAAAAACCATCAATCTTAAATAGGTCCTCAGGTATGCTGAAAGTATTGTTAATGGCTTATTTCACTATAGATGCTCCATAGTTACTGAAATTACAGAATTAGAGCAACCATAGCAAAAATTATAGAAGTTGTAGGAAGATAGAAAATGAGAAGTATTCTTTCACCAACTTTCAAAACTAAGCATTGTTGAGTTTCTTGCCTTGTTCATTCAGGTGTCATCTGTGATTAACCCCCTTAAAGTGTACACACCAGTTATGAATTTCTATCACAAAAATAAATTGCGGAATTTGATGATTCTGACCTAATAATGCAGCCTTTTCTTGCAATAGCATTGAATTACACTTATGTAACTAGAGAATGCCACTGCTTGCTGTATTGTAAACAAGTGGCAAAACCATATATTTTTCTATGTATTACCTGATACAGTACATAGTAAGGCCCAGTTCTGTAGCTGCTTTGATACATAAATTATCCAAACACTGAGGTAGGCCCCACTGTTTTCCATCAAACATCTCATATGAGCAGTGACAGTTATGCAAGAAACTTTATTACATGTTCAAATCCCGTGTACACTTGTAATAGACAGTCGTTTCATTCAAGACAGTATTCCTTTTTGCAGATGTTACATGTGTAGCAGTTGCAGCTTTGCAGCTTCTTACTTTTTTTTTTTTTTTTTTTTTTTTTTTTTTCCCCCACAGTGCAGGATTCAAGTTTATTGTGAGACTATTCTCTGCTATCTAACAGCAAAAAATAATAAATTCATGGAATGGGTCAGGTACCATTGTTCATGCATACTCAAGGTGACATGAAACTACATAACTTTGTGATCTCCTGTTTTATTAACAGCCAGCTACTTTGGGTCTTTTATAACAAATTAAATCACAGTATACGTTGACTTTGGTCAAACTCTACAGAGATCTGATGAAAAAGTTATTTGTTTCCTTTAAACAACTAAACAGAAATTTTTCTTTTGACCCTATTCTAAAGAACTATGTTGCTAGAAAATGTAGAGTAAAGAGGGGATAGAATTCTATTGGTTACAGAGCTTGTATCACCAGCTCAGGTGGCTTGGATGTCACCCTTATGGTCTTCTGATGTTACTTCAGAAAGATTGTACTGTCAGCAGGAAAATGGGTCTTTTTGAAAAGATTTTCTCCTTTACCAAAGGCGTCTTATGAGATGTTAAGCTCATTAGGAAACCAGAAGAAAATCCAGCCGAACTTTTAAGTCTTTTTTTTTTTTTTCTTTTTCTTTCTTTTTTTTTCTTTTTCTTCAAGAGGTTAACAACTGATCCCTTCAGACACCAATATCCTAATATTAGATAAGAAGTGCTGATACAAGAACCAGGGTTTCCCCTGACAGCCAACTTCAGACCTGGGCTGGTTTGGTTTTAATTCTTTCATGCAGAATACAGGTTGCCCAAAATCCCCACAATGGTAGCTAGTTCTTTCACCACCAGGTACCTAACTCCAAGGAGGCATCAAGACAGATTTTGCTGTGGATTTCACAGTTCTGTATTGCAACACTCAAAGTACAACCCTTGCAAACTCAGTGAAGACATTTTTATATGTTTTCCAAGGGGACACCACTATCTAGTCTTGCCCTGAATCCAAAATTGTTTCTCAGCCAACCCCTTCTTCTCATACTCATTACTGTTAGTAAAGTGGAGCCAATAAACTTAAATGGATTTATTAAATTGAAGCTACTGCAAGGGTTTAGGGGCAAGTTTGATATTGTATCACATTGTTATCATTTTTGGTTTTCTTTTCCATGTTTCTTGTGCTGGAACATAATTGTACACTACTACAAATTTCCACAGTTACTAGTGTAGCCACAAAAATATTCCACACTTTAATACATAAATGAAACCTGCTGCGAGTCTGCTAAAAGTGTGATGAGAACAGAAATGGAGTAGCTGCATCTGAAATATTAGACCTGGAAAGTGGCTTTAATCCAATAGGATTCATAATGTTTCAATTCCTAATGTTAGTGATCTTCACAAGAAATGCTTCATGAGAAAAAAAAGCAAACACCACC